TTCCAGCATTTTCAGCTGGAACATGGGGAAATCTCTCAAAGACCAAAGACGCACTCAAAAACATAATTACCATTATGGAAAAGACCATGGCAGAACAACCCTGTTTCTCCGGAAAAACACAGATCGCAACCGGTTGCGATCTGTGTTTTTCCAGCATTTTCAGCTGGAACATGAGGAAATCTCTCAAAGACCAAAGACACACTCAAAAACATACTTAGCATTGCGGAAGACCTCAAATTCCCCAGAACACCCAGACAAACCCTCGCAACAAACAAGCTCACTCCCTGCAAAAAAAGCTTACCTTGCAGTACTTCCCGCCCTGCCTCCATCCAACAATGTCTCAGCGCAAGCCAGCCTGCCGGCAGCTGCCATGTCCTTAGTCCTGTGTTGGGCTGTTGCAGCCGACTCTGTGACAGGCTGTTGCAGCCGACTCTTCACTAAGATGGGAACCTTGTGGAGGTGGCGCAACCTAATCTAGGCTTTTTGCAGCCATCTTTCCGTTGAGAGGGGGTCTGCTACCAAAACATATTGAGCCCTGAAAGATTTTTATGTTCCCCCCAAATCAAAAGATTGCACCCCCAAATCAAAGATTAGGATCTAGCACACCTTAAAGGGAATTGTTTTTTTTTAAACGCATGCTGCAGTTGAGCCTCCCTTGTGTTTTTTTGGATGCACTTGTGCCAAAAAATGTCAGATCAAATCTTTGCATTTTTTGTCCAACTGGCAGAAGATGAAAAACAACAAAACGAATGTGATTGTAGGAAAATGAGGAGAGAGACAAAAAAAAAGCACAAAAAAGCACAGACTTACGCAGGCAAGTTCAAGGTGTTTTCGTCCCACTGACGATACGCGGGCCATCATCCGCGCGCGCTGGACCTCGGTGGTTGCGAGGATGTCTGCGGTGAATTGGTCCACCATCTGGAGCGCGAGCGCGGAGGAGCTGTCTGATCCTCCTTGTTGGCCCCAGGGTGCTCCTCGGCGATCTGCTTGGTGGCTTCGACCCAATGGACGTTGCGGGGTCTGTAACGCTCGCTGCCCTCTTTGCGCTTTATGGTGCGGACCTTTTGGCAAATGCTGTACCAGGTATTGATGTCCAGCCGATTGGAGCCCTTGGGGTTGCCCGCCTTGGTGACCACGTGATGGCGGACCCAGCGCAACTTGGAGTCGCTCCAGAGGGCCTCGATGCGCAGGCGTTTTTGGTTGGTGTTGCCCTCATCTATCGCGATGACCCAGGACCTTGGCTGCTGGTGGTAGCCCGCGTCGAGGTTGGCAACTGGCCGTCGTTGATGGTGTTCATAATCGGTGCGTCCAATGCTCACGGCTGTACCAGGCTGACGGTGAAGTGCCGGGGACAATGTCGGGTGTTCTGGATGCCAATAGAGGTCGTCGTACTCACCCGATGCGCACTGGTAGCAGCAGCGGAAGTACTGCCGCCGCCAATCTGATGTCCCTTGAGGCATGAGGTCCAGCAGCCAAAAATCGGGGAACCAAGCCCCGCAGAACGCGCAGTCGAGGCAATTGTCGTGGTGGGTGGTGGACTCGTTCTGTGCCAAGAGCTGCAAGTAGTTGGTGACCTTGTCCGCAGCGGCGGTGGCCATCTCCTCGACTTCGTCGCCCAAAGCATCGGTGATGTCGGATGGTGCCCTGCCCGTCAGCCTGTCTATCCAGATGCGCACCAATTCGTCCGTGGTGGCGCCGGGGTACTTGGTGCGAAGAGCACGGAGGGCCGTCTTCTCGAGGGCGGAGCGCTTGGCGATGACTTCGAGGGCCAGATTCTGTACGCGGACCATCTGCTCGGTGACCATCCCCTTAGCGGTGTCGGCGTCAATCGGCTGCACGCGGTGGGACTGAGAGGTCGACCATATGCCGCCATCGCAAAGATGAACTGGGGATGAGACTTAGGGGAAGACGCTCGGGAGAGCTGAAATTGTGCTGCACATAACGCGCAGAGCCAAGCTGGTCACATGGTTCGCAGCAGGCTCGTACAAGCTTCTACTCGACACATAACATGTCGACTGTGCATGGTGAACATTCATGTCAAGACATGTTGTCCCTGACCCTGGCTACCTGCATGTGGCTGACGCTACTCGTGTAGGATGGGGCTTGTTTACACTCTGCTGTCATGTTGTGACGTGTGATTCGAGAGCTTGGGCGCAAGGTCCCCTGTCACCTCGGTGGTAAGGGACCCGCAACCGCTTTCAGGTGAAGACCTCCAAACAGATGTACAGCCACAAAATGTGGTTCCCCTTCACCTCCTTCACCTCGGTGGGAAAGGATCGGGGGAACGACTAATCCGGTGGCCTCGCATCTCTCACGACCCTTCACCTCGGTGGGAAGTCGATCGAGACACGCTCAGCTATGGGCGCTCACATGCCACGGCGCCAATGAAGTCGAGGTGGGTTGACCGCTGACGGTGACCACTTGTGCCCAGTCATCGGTGAACCGGGATCTCCACGCCATAGGCAGCATGAAGCAAACGCAATCCAGCACTGCGTCGGTGAAGGCCATGATGTAGCGCTCGACGGACGGTCTGTCCTGGGTGAACCTGCGAACATGGACGGCCAGGGCCATGTAGTCTCGGAGGATGAGGTAGCAGGACTCCGGGTTGTTGAAGCCAACCTGACGAAGGTCTCCAGTGATGAGGTGTGCGAGTCACGAGCACGGTAGGGTCTGTGCTCTGGGCCGGAAGAGGCATGATGAGCACGCGTTCCACTCTCGGCGTGCGTCTGTAGGTGTTGGGGGCCTGGATCACGAGGCCGAAGTCTAGTCCAGCGCGAACTCAACTGCCTGTAGCATCGAGGTGTTCACGAACCACGGGGCGAACGCCATGTACGGGTAGTTGCTAGGGGGAAACTGTGCGACGTTGTCCGGTGCGATGGCTGGCACTGGTGTGAGCATGTTGCGCACAATGGCCGCCCTGGCTGGCAGCCCATGCCGGTGGAAACGTCTGTGGTGTTGGTATTGTTGAGTTGGCCAGGTGTCGTCCCAGACACTGTACTCTGTACTGGGCTGTTGCGGGGCCTGGAGAACCGAAGGGTCTACCACTCTCGGCCGTGGCCCGAGCTGAGGTTCGATGCGGTGCACCCTCTGAGGCGAATTCGACCTGCCTAAAGCCACTGCTGGCGTCGCAAGCTCCACAATAAGGTCCGTCCGTTGTTGCGAGAAGTCGTTCCAGCCTTGCCGCCACTCCACCCAACGCCGTCACAACAACCAGCACCCATCCTCCGCCCATTGGCGCCAGCAGCACCGTCGCAGCAGCACAGCACGGCAGGGGTGCAGCAGTACCCGATCCGGACCACAGTGCCGTGCTCCCTCGACTGGTGGCGTGTCTTCGTCCGAAGGGGAGGCGGAGCCTTGCGATTGCGCGGTGGCGGGGATGCAACCTCCGGAGCTGCGATGTCCTCTGTTGCCTGTGGCATAAATCTGGCCGTGGGTGACTCTGCGCGCTGTCGAGCGGGTGTGCGCTTCGGAGCGGCCAGGTGTGCCGGTGGATCCTTGGGCATGGCCTTCACTGGTGGCGGTTGCACTGGCGCTGCGCTCGGCTGTTGCTCCTGTGGTTCGCAAAACGATGGTGCCGAAGCCGAGGTGGATCCCGACGATGTAGCCGTCTGTAGTGGCCGAGACAACGTTGGTGTAGCTGACGGTGAACGGCTCCGCCTCGGTGATGGGAATCTCGATGTCGTCGGTGTCGGGGAGCGTGTTCGGTTGCTGTGCCGCCCGTAGCCACCCCTGCTGGTGCGAGGATCCGTTTCTGGCACTCCGCCACGCGCCAGATGATTTTCGTAGGAGGATGCCGTGGGGAACTTGGTCCAACTCATCCCCATGATGAATTGTTTGATCGCCATGGTGTCGCTGGTGGTTAACGACGTCATGATCATGTCCATGGCTTCGGACCTGGTGATGAACCTGAAGATCCCCCGGTGTTGGACGTAGTGCAACCGTGTAGATGGTCTCTTCAGGGTGAGCTGGCGGAATGCCGCATAGACCGCCTCGGGGAACGTGTCGGCGTGCAAATTGGGGCAACCGCCTTCTTTGGTGCAATGACCCCGAAAGAAGTTACGACAAGGACAATTAAGGGGGACCCAGGCGTGGTCTACGAAATCGGGGTGGATGCACTCACAGTGAGGTCTGCGGCAGGTCTGTCGTCCGCACACGTCGGGGCACACCCGGCGTTGGCCGAGAGGAAACTCTCGCTGCATGCCCATGGGGATGTCCTCCTGGAACTCGGCGAGGATCTGCATTGGTGGATTGAGGACCTCGCGTGCGGCGATGTCCTGGCCAAAGAAAAGCGCCCAATCACGCCTGGTGCCGCCCGGCAATTCATCCCAGACGGGGTACTCCACAACGTCGAGGTTCCTGTCCAGGGCCGTCATGGTATGTCATGGTGAACGATGCAAGCCGGAGGAGGACGCTGGTTCAGGCAGCACGGTGTCCGAGGTAGCGGTGGAGCTCGAAGATGAGGACGAGGAAGGCGGTGAACGCAGGTGGAGGATGTCTGCGGCCCGGCGCACGAAGTCTTCTCGATGCGGGCCGGCCAGCTTGCCTTTCAGGTGGACAAAGAGGTCGTTCCAAAGGAGGCCTTCGGTGGCCTCTCGCAGGTCAGCGATGTAGCGGCAGATGCCGCTGTTGGTGCGCCGGCCCTCGGTGGTGAACTGCTCCCACAAGCAGTTTTCAGCCAGGCGAAAGAGCTGGTGCTCCTGTTGAGTCCTTGGTGATGGAGGCGGAGCCGGAAATGGCTCAAGAATTTCTGGACACTATGTGTCCGACTCACTAAGGAGCACCAAACTAGAACCCAAACGGCCACGGATGTATGAATCAAAGACATGAACATCCTCACGCTTTGGGGTTCCAAGTTTGGTGCTCACAGATTGTCATTCATGACGCACGGGTAATACACTGCAGTGATGCATTCTTGCACCAAGTTGCACCATGTTGTTATAGACATCCGCCCTCATGCTCAAATCTCAAAACAATCGTAGTGACCTTCATAGATGTTCGAGCCTTTGTGCTACGTGCTTACGGACAGCGAGTTGCTTGTTGCCGTCTTGGATTTCATCATTGGCCAGCAGGCCATTTTGGAGATCCACACCCGTACATGCCAAGCTCCGACAGGCGCTGGCTCACCAATTTTGCAGGGATTCCTGCACATCCTCAGTTTGAACTTGTGGAAGGATACCTGAGCCATTCTCAAACCACATGGCCAATGAAGTGATTCTTGTACAGACTCGAGTTTCGCCATTCGATGTGTGTGCAAATAATCACACACGCACCTATTTGCGGCGATGGTACCGAACTCCGCGTCGGTTTGTTTCACAAAAGGGCCAAGTCAATCTCAATGTGCCAAGAAGTCTTTCTCGCACATATGAACTCGTGGATTCAGTGGTTTTTCACTAATTACTCCGAAGCCGATTATCATGCGCGCGCCGATCGCCAAATCTTGGTGCACCTCAAATTTACGGGCGTGAGGGCACCTATCAGCAATATGTAGCTTCACATGCCTAATTTTTTTGATATGTCGAGCAGAAGCATGCTGAACGGAAGTAATCTAAGGCATTGTGTGACGTTTTTTAATGCACGCCCACATTTTGCCTGTGCATGCTGCAAGATTTTGTGCTTGGTCAGCCAACTGCCTGTACCTACCATGCACTACATGATTGATCCTTCCACTGCTCGCGTACGGCTCCAATCTCTCGTATTTTCGAATGCGATCTGAGGGCCTGGGCATTGGATCTCATCCTCCACATGTACATGAAACATCGACTATGGTTGGTGATCCACGACCTCATCGATCTCTGGGACACAGAGGATGACAGACTGATGTCCTGCTTTATTCCTTCAAGAACACCTTCGGTGTGTCGTTTTGGCCGGCAGTTCCTCCAAGCAACATCCCACAATGGGACGGAGCTGAGAAAGATGCTCGCGGACGGGTAGACTTAGACATATTTCACACTGCTTCGGAACGCCGGTTCTACGTGTGGCTCCCAGAAGCGTCCACAACAATCTTGGAAACCGCTCGTGGCGAGATAGACTTTGAGTTGCTCAGCGTCGTGATCGTCAAGAGCGCGACACTCTTCAACAGTCGCGTGATCACCTCCGTTACTACTTTTGAAAATGCAGCATCGAAGGCTGCCCATTTCCTTGCTCTTTGAGGCGTTCTCACCTAGCCAAGACCTCACTCATCATCAGCAGGAAGTGCAGAGATGCAAGACGCATTGGCACACTGAGCAATGCGGACTAGGAGTCTTCAGCGAAGACAATTGGAATTCCAGTAGCTTCTGAATACTGATGCTCTGCTGTTTGGATTTTTCATCTTCTGATTGAACAATGAGCGTTTTCTTAACAACACCAGCTACTCCCTCCGGGGGGCAGCATGTGTGTGTGTGTGCGTCACTCCTGATTGCAAAGGCTCTCCCACTTGATGCAATTTTGGTTGCCGAGCATCCACAGATGCAGGGGGAGACAGGGCACATCAGGATATGGTATCTGATCAATCCCACGTAGCCCCCGACGTGCCCAAGATTAACAAAAACAACAGCCCCCTGCACTGCACAGGCCCAGATTAGCTTTTTGCGGTAGGTTGATAGGTCATGTACGTGAGCTTCAAGAGCAAAGATTATCAGTCATGTCAGTACACGTGGTGCAGACAATGTACATGTAAGTCCAAGCCATGCGGACATGTTGCAAAAGACATGTTCTCCAGTTCACACATGTTGCAGCTCTCAGGCATGTGTGTGTGTGCAAGGACGTTGAATGGGTGCTTTTGCGCCTATACCGCCTCGGGGGCCAACAAGCAACAAGCCAGAAGCAGAGAGATGTCCATTCTAGAACCGAACCTTTCCTGCGGTCAGCAAGTGTGTGTGTGTGTATCTGTACCACTTGCATCTTTGTACACAACTGACGCCCAGCTCCTGACCACGGCACCTGTTCGCCGAACGAAAAACGGCTCTTCTCTACCTAACATGAACCTGTTCTGCGGAAGCACGCTGTTTGAGCAAAGCTGGTAAGAGTAAGGCTCCCACAGCTGATAGCCCAACACGTCTTCCCCAACATCAGCAAAACGAATTTCGTGTAACACCTGCATTGCATTTGAAGAGAAGCTTCAAACAGACGAAACACTGAAGAGCAAAGCGCACTTCATTCCAGAAGCAAGAGGCTCAAATTGCATTTTGAGCACAATCTATCAAAAAAGTCCCGCCTGAAAGTCCGCACCATTGTTAGTCTCTGCCAAATGCTCCATGCGCAGGATCAATTCTAATGAACCAGTGATACGAGCGCGTACAATCTTGCCGAATTGGCTGATCATCCCTAAAGGCGCTGCTCTGGCACCCAAAGTATACTTCCACTATAGTGAACAATAAACTTAACATAGGCGCTGCTGAGTGTCATCATATTGACAACGAAGCAAAACAGTTTATCTCCCCCTGTTTTGTATTCTAGCCATCTGGCCAACGCTAAGCGTGTGTTTGTCTTCTTTGGCAGCGCGCTACCATGCAAATGGATTTAGCGAAATCAGTCTGTTAGAAGGCACATCTCTGTCTTGCTGGCATGCAGGCTATGAGAGCGAAATGAACAAGTGGCTGGATCCAGAACTCACAATCATTGCCAGTGAACAAGGTCGCTCAATGGAATGCTTGGAGGCGGGATGCAGGAATAAAATGAGTGGAACGGCGCGTGAACAATGTGGCAAAATCCTGAGATGGAAATCTGCTCTGGGATTGGAACATTCCCTTTGGTTCAAGGTTAACCTTCGTTTCACATAGTTTTTAGCATGCGATCACCAGACACATGGAGCCATTGAGGTGCGGCATTTTGACGATAGCTCACTTCGAAAATGGAGAGCCATACAAATCATGAAATGGAAACTAAACTCATATGGGTGGTTGTCAAAATTATGGTCCCTCTTGGGTACCCTAAATATTAGGTGCCGTATTATAATAGGGATCCAAAAACGGACCATAATTTTGACAATCACCAAAATGTATGGCGTTTCAGAGTCTTCAGACCTTGATTGCATTTGTGTTTTCCTCCAGCTCGGACTGAAAGCCAAGTGTGTAACTGTCGGCAGAAGCTTCAAGCACCGGAGACATGGAGAACTAGTTTGGATGGCGTACTTGTATGGGAGTTTCTCAAAGCAATTCCTTCATAATCCCAGAGTAATCATGAATAACCTTTCAAAGTATACTTACGTAGGGTACCCTTACGTATACAGGCTCGTACAAGGGACATCACGATATATCACCCTCTGTGCTGGCTCTAAAAAGTAACAGCCGCAATTGGAGAAGCTTTCATTTTGAAGAAACCAGAGAGCAGGAGGAACAACACGATGGCAAGCTGTCAGAACGGGCCACTGCGACGAGAAACACGTGGCCTCCGACTTGAATATTTTTTGCGGCGCGGACAGGATATTGTTGGAGTCATGTCCGTATTTCGTCAAGCTTCGACAGCAGATCAAGCCAGCTAAAAAGAATGTCCTTCGTGCTTGAAAATATCAGTTTCGCCATTTCAGGACCGTGCTATTAGTTTTAGGTTGGGTTCCTACATTTCTTCCAAAGCGTTCTACCTGGAGTAACGGGAATAAACTTGCGCCCTACATAGCGGATGTTAGGCGTGCGTTTGTGGAACCTTGATAGGGGTTGGGAAGTCAAAGAAAGCCTTCAACATCCGCATGGAAGGAGGAGTGTTGAAGCAATGTACTGAATTCGATGGGAAGCTTCAGCCCCGAGGTAGCATTCACATTCGTGGTCTGCCCAATCGGGCAAAAATACATACCACCACTCTTCCTCGGCAGCCCCAGATACTCTTACCAAACCGCTTCGAACGCCCTACCTGACCTGGAACTATGGTTGGATTGCTTTAATCGTGCAAAAGGATTTTACTCGCTGGGGTCAACAAACTTGCAAGGGCACGCAACCAGGTCTGCCAGAAAGTCTTTGCAGCAATCAGCGCGTGAGGGGCGGCTGCGCCTCCAGCCTCGCGGCCTCAAAAAACAATTGACATGGAGCTAAGGCGAGTCATGTACGGTCCATCTAGTTACGACAAGTTTTGGGGCACACTATAATCTCCTGAACTGTGAACTATACGCGAATAACATCGATCCTGTCGGGCTCCTATCGTAATTAAAATGAGCTGGGATAAGCGTGGAACTCTCCATCGGATCCACAAGAACAGGTTCAACGCCAAATCCACCAGCTGTGACTTCCAGCTCGACACGGAGCTGCGTGTACACTGAGGGGCTTCAGAAGTTTCAAAACGACTACCATGTCGCAGACACTGTCAGCTGGGTGATCTCCCCACACGCTAAAGGCAGTAGAACAGTCATGCCAAGGGCCCTGGCATCATTACAAGTACTCCTTGTCTCACCGTTCGTCGGACGCGGGATCCCCTAAACTCTTAGCCGCATTTCTGCGGTTGTGAGAGGGGCGGCGAGGAAAGCTCGCAGATAGTATCACAACTGAGAGAGCGTGACGCGTGGAGCTGAAAGATCACTGGCAAGCATTGCAGGACCATGGTAGTACATTTGGGCTGTCTTTCGCCAGTAGTTGGGGTCGTTGTGGCTCCTCTAGCTGCTGCTGCCATCCCGCCTGGGTTTTGGTTTTTTATGCCCGACTTATTGGTCGCATGCTACGTCACTGAGAATTTCATGTAGTTCTCAGCCTGTGCCTTGCCCGTTTCCGGATATGTTCGCAAAATTGCATCTGAAAATCATA